TTTTTTTTTTAAACCGATTTCTTTTTTTTTCCGCAGAATTGGCGGGGTTTGGGGAGCCTGACACCGCTCGGGCTACCAAAAAAAAAAAAAAAAAAAAAATTAAGGCTGCGGCAGGACTCTGAGCTCTCCCCAGGGCTGTCTTAACCCTGTGGGATTATAGAGCCCTTTCCACGCCTGTTCTCCCAAGTAATTGTCTTCACATCTCAGTGGCTGTGGGGCATGTCCCATAGACAGCCCATGGCTTTTTGCGTTACTCCCGGGCTATCCCTTCACCCCAGGGAGCACGTTCACACTGCTCATCCACATCCGTGGTCTGCAGAGTCCCAGAGCAGCAGTTCACTGATCTGTTTCATTTCAGGTAGATCGATCCCACACAGGAGGTGGTACAGGCAAAATGCAAAACTTTTCTTAACCCTGCCTTAGGCACCCCACTTTCTATACATATTCATAAATTTCCTGAGGTCACTCCAAGCAAACCTTTGAAGATCAGACTAATACATCCAATTTATATTACACAGCAATGGCAGCACGTCTGCAATAAATTGGAAAGAATTTTCATGGATTAATACATTCTAAGATTGCAAGACCTGACCTTGGGCTACAAGCCCTCAACCAGTTATTTCCTAACACTTGTTGCATTACAGCATTTCACTCAGAATGGCATCCAGCAGTGTTGACTTTAAGGCAGCAGTAATAAAGGGTCCATGACATCTCTTGATAAATCATTTCAATCATCAATTGGTTTGCTAGAAGGTGCATTTCATATTCAATATCAATTTGTCTTATTCCAACTTCCAACCAGTAGTTCTCATCATACCTTTATTAGTTTAAGGGGACATAGTATCAATGCAGTATCTCCTGCACACAGGGGCTAAGATTAATCACATTTTGCTTTTGTAAAATAATAAGGTCAACTTTCCAACACCTCAAGAATCATTCCTGGAAGCACTTCCAGTGCACCTCCCCTTTTTCCACATGATGTTGAACTCACCTATCTGACCCTGTGACTTGTCTGCACCGGGCCATAAGCTGCAACTTCAGCACCTCCCTCAGTACCAGCCAGTTCCATAGGCTGGGCAGGAAACCTAATCCTTACATGTAGACCAGACAGTGTGCTGTCCTTGTGGGGATGTCTGTTTATGAAATCATCTACACCATGTTTTGAATCCATAATGCCTAAAATCATCACCTACCTCCTTGCTCCTGTGCGCTTGGTCTCGCACTAGAATAAATCAAACCATGAAATTTATTTTTACAAGTGACTTGTCCAGCAGTTTGTCACCTGCAAACTTTCCAGTAACTCATTTTCTTCCAGAAAATTGATTATCATAACACCAAGAACATTCCTAGGATGCCAACAGGAATAGGTGCCATATTGATTTTGTGTACTGCTATTTTTAACCAGAATATCATATGCTAAATTATGTTTTGCCATTCTCAACTTGATATGCAAGTTTGTCTGTCAAAATTCGTTTCACAGAAAATCTTTCTTCACTGCTTGTATACTATATCATTCCGTGATTTTCACCAGTACTTGGCTATCAGAACTACAGCTACTTGGATCAATTTGGTGATCTTTTTACAATATTGGCAGTTTATTAACACATACACTCACATTGTCTCTGGGCCGTCATCAGCTTTCCAAGATTTGGGTTTTTTTTTGGAAGCAATTTCCACGTTTTTGAGAACTCAGTCTTTCTGAAAGAAAGCTTGAGGCCAGGCTGTGTGTTACAACAGAATTAGTATCTTGGACATTATTAGCAACTGCTTGCCATCCTTCTTTACTACTGCTGTAGCAGCAAATGTCCCTTTGTTAGCTGAAGATTGAAATGCATCTCCTGGCTTTTCCCAGCACAGGTGCAAAGAGCTGTTGGACAGTTCCACTCAGTGTGAAGTTCAAGGCTTGCCCTCGTGTGGGAGGCAGAGACCAGCTGACACTGCTGTCCCTGCAGTGCACAGGGAAGGCCAGTGCTGGAGAGCTAGGGCAAAGGAATGCATAGAGGAGCTGCAGAGGTCTGCACTATGGCTAGATGTCATTTAAAGCAAGCAAAGCTGCAGCTCAAATTAAAGTATTTAACAATGTGGTATTTCTGACCTTAATGTGTTTGTTGCTGCATTTCCTGTCAGTAAAACGGGGTGCACTTCCTTCAGGGTAATACTGTGAAGACAGATTAATAAGCATTTGGGAAACACTAAGAAACTGTAATACTCAAGTTCTATAAAACCAACCAACCAAATAAACAAACAAAAAAAGGGAAACAAACAACTCACTCTAAGAAAATAACTTTTATTGTTCAGTATAGGGATTTCTTATGGGGATGCAAATAAGGCCATATATTGAACAATGAGGATTAGTTAAAGTAAGCCTCTCAAAATTCTTCCTGTGTTTCAGTGAGGCATGAAAATGACAGTTTCCCCAACTTGTGTAAAAAAAACCAAGAAAAAAAACCCAACACAAACAAACAAAGAACCCCCAAGCACCCCCCAAAACAGGGAACGTGTTGCAAGAAAATCAGGTAGTGTAATAGACACAATGAGGTCAGCTTTTGATTTCACAAAAACCTTTATTTCTGGCACTTAAGTATTTAATTTTCAATCTGAAAGTTTCACGTTGTCTACATATGTTTTCAACATGATTATATGCTACAGTTATATTTTGAAAAGCCTGCTTCTTTCCAAATCTCAACACTGAGAAATTTCTTCTTTCTTAGGTACTATACTGTGTTTATGCATAAGAGATGCCCAGGTAACAGCTCATTTTAAATAGGAGGCTGCCTAAAGTAGAATTGCACCAAACTGCTTATTAAAGATTGTGTCAGACACAGCCACTGGACCCAGCTGCCTTTTTTTCCCTTAGAAATCCCCAGAATGTTTTCCTACTGTCAAATTGGTAAAGTGCATTTCCTAGGATGAAATCCTCTGAAGCTGCACACATCCTTTATCTGTTAGGCAAAAAGGCTTTATATTCTCATTTAGTGGTCCACATCAGACACCCTCTGTTTATTCCTTCTTGGCTAAAATATCAGTTCACAAGAATTGTTAAACCTGCTCTCTTAACTCAAAAATCAAATGTCGCTTTTTTCCTGGCATGCTACCCAGTCATTTCAGCGCTTCAATCATGTGAATCCTTCAGCCATATTTCTGTAAAAACACTGTCAAGTACCTTTCCGCTAATGATCGCTTCCAATTTCTCAGTTATTACTAAGTCTTCTCACAGTGTATGCACAATTAACAATTTTGTTCTTTATATATTTATATTTGCCCACCACAGAGTACCTAATTAATTAATTTCACATTTAAGCATCTGTACTGGTGTGACTCCCTTGACCACTTTTTCTTCAGTTGCAAGTTAAGTATTCTCAGTCCATGGATAAAGTCAAGAAACTCAGAAAACTGACTTTTCCCTTAACACCAACAAATACATTGCATCTGCTGCAAGTCCTCTCCCACCCTGGGAGATGGTTTGATGCTACACAAAACATGTCATGCAGCCCCTTAGGCCAGCAACTCACTTCCTGTATGTGTTTTCCTCTTCTTACCTCCTCTTCTATATATATTCATCCTCTTACCACTTTTAGAGAGGTCACTGAGAAGGTCCTGCCCTGTTTTTGTCTCCAGCCACCTTTGCAAATCCTGGAGCCATGCAATTCCTCCTGTCAGGGCTGACTTGGACTGGCCTAATTAGCCTTTGTCTATTCATAAAAATATCAGGGAATAGTGGATTTTAAAAA